CCCCCGGGACTTAAAAGCGTCCATTTTTCTACAGAAGTCCTAGAGGTTTTTTCTATGTTTCATCGGTTCTGCGCTAATTCTCGTGCTCTCGTCTTATTCGTTTCTCAATATCAAAACAAAAGTAAATAAACGGAGTATTCCGTTACCGACCAGACTGCATGGTTATTGACGGTGACGTGCAGGAGGTGCAGACCTTCTGAAATTGCAGTTTGAAAAGATTTTAAAGAACCGTGCTCAAATTTGCGGGAGACGCATTCCCGCAAAGAGCCTCGTCATATATCGAATCGATTATTTATCGCGTATTTCGTGGCTGCAAAAGGCCGAAGAAGGATGACCGTTTGATTATATTTAAGGCTATCTCACAGGCACGTGAACCGGGCACGTGAACGAACTATGTCCAACTAAAGACAAAGTGTGTTGCAATCTGAGTTTTACATTAACAATCAAATCGATTTGAGGGAGCGCGATCTTGAAATGATCGTATCTTAATTAGTTACAGTCAAAGTCAAGCGAGCGCCATCTTTATTATTTCAAAGAAACCCTAACGAGTCCCTTCCAAAAACGCGGTTTTTTTTTTTTTTTTTTTCATTTTGAAAGAAACTCGAGCTAACGCGATCAGAGGGGTTTCCTTTGAACGGAAGCACCTATTAGAATGGCATTCCGTGTAGCGGGAAATCATTTTTTACGTAACTACCAAACGTTGTTGCAAGGATTTTGGTTTCTTTGTTGAACCGTTTCTGGAACTGAATAAAATTAAAGCCGGCGGCAATAATAGCCCCCATATGATAATTAGCTCTGCGATATTCCCTGTGGAGGATAGCGATCGTTATTGGCAACCAATGAATATAGGTTTTCCTTGATCGTTTTCTAATAATAATCGGTTATAATAAAAATCTGCCGCATATGAATATTATAAAGTGGAATGAACACTGCACATGTAAAGTTATTAGTATGGGCTTTTACTGCGACCAAAAACAAGAGACCACCCGGAATCGGCAACGACTGATCGAGATAGGTGTTGGTATTGAACCAGGTGTACTGCACAGCAGGTGTCAGTTGAAAATCGGGTTGACTGTAAGATCATCAAAATGACGGTCCCGGCTTCTACTAAATGCAAACCACAACTCTCCCTGCAACTAGGATAAGGGATGAATGAGGAAAAGTTGTTGATAGAAGAAGAGTCCAGTCAGCTACCATGAACCTGGCAAGCATTCAATTTCAATGGCGCGGCGTACTTCAGTGGACCACTGCGTGAACTTAATAAAAGTCCCTCAATCGAAATTCACAAACGTTGGATAATATTGGAAACAACGTCAATTCAATGCAATTTTAACACTTATGAATTCCTTGGTTGAAAACGAACCACCGTAAAATTGTGTAAACATGCTCTCTATTTTGATTTTTTTCGTAAGGAGCATCGGTTTCAGCCGGTGACATATAGAAGCTAAGATATGCTGTGATAAAGTTCTTTCCTACTTTGCTACTTTCTTTGGAATATACTTTTACCCTCCATTTATTTGTTATATTTCAGATTTTAGGTAAACAAAACACAATAATTTACAAGACGAATTCCCTCGTCAGGTAATGAATTTTCCTATAGAATACCTTTCGTGAAAAATAACGCAACAAAACAAAGCCCTTTAAAAATAAACTGGAGACTCTTTCCTTTAGCTAAAGCAAAACTGGCTATTTATGGCGTTTGTTTGTATCAATGCCAAAACAAAATGTAAAACAAATTCGCTTCAGCTAACTCAGACATGAACTCACATTAAAAATTGTGCAACTCGTTTTACGCCAATCGCCTGGTTAATGGTTAGCATATTTTGCATTTTTCTGGTCTCGTTAATGCTGGAAACTTTGTTTGGCTGGACTAGATAACTTTGTTTGCCATGTCTTATTTGGGTACCGGGAGAAAATTCGCTTTTCGTAACGGGTGCTGTAATATTTACAATATTCATCAGGAATGGTCAATTCATAAAGTTTTTCAAGCACTTCTCAAATACGAAGACTCTTTTCTTTCAATAGGAACGTATACTTGTTTGACATTTTATGATCAATACTCGACAACAGGTCTTAAAACATTCGAGCGAGCGCTCAGCTTGTTGTGATAAAGACCATATATGACGTCATGACTCAGAGAGCGACTTTGTAGTCAAACATAGAGGATGGATTATCAAATTACAGAATTTCACTCCGTTTGAATCTGTTTTTGGGAATTCGCGAACGGTTAAGGTAAAGGTACTTGGTGGTTTAGCTTAACAGCTTCTTAGATGCTATTTTCAGTATTTTTATTCCTAGAATTTCGACTTTCGATGGTAAACTAAATAAACTGCTAAGCCGGGAACGAAGATCCTGCTTGATTGAACGTTGGATCTCACTTAAGCTGTGTTCACATCAGAGTAAACATGTTTCAAGGACACATGTTTCAAGGAAACTTGTTTCGCCTAAACATGTTGTTATTACATTGTTCACATCAGATGTCGGTTTCAAACACGTTTCATTCATGGTTGTATAATAGGTGCTGTTTCATGGTACTAGCAGAAATTTTATACAGTTCGTTAAGTTTTGCGGCAATGTTCTCCCAAATATTCTGCTTTCTACCCATCGCCGATAATTGCCGTTGTATTTCTTCATCGGCCCATATTTCAACTAGACAGTTGGCCTCATAATAGCTCCAATTTTGGTTCTTTTGGGCACTCGCCTCCTCTCCGCATCCATCCGCCATTTTGAACGTGTTTGGTCTGATCATTATTGAAACCGTCGCCACCTCGCGAAGTTGTTTTAATCATGCTCAGAATAATCATGTTTCAACCATGGATGCTAACCAGTTAGCACAAAAACTCGGAAATTTCGGTTGAAATTCAAATGGAACAGTAATTTTCCGGAAAATGCGTTCGGAAATTGGACTACCTCCAGAGGCGCCGTTCGGAACGGAATGACGGAAGTTTCCTTACCATTTGGTAAATTTTCCAGTTTCCAGTCTCTCATCAGCCGAAAACAATTACGAGAAATCGAATTGAAAATGGTAAGCGCGATCTCGTTCGGTTGGTTTGCTGATTTTGGAAAAACCCTTACCTTTATTCAACGGTCATCCCAACAGGTTCATTCTGACAAATGGTAAGCACCCCATGATTCGCCCAATGCACCGTCTGATGTGAACACTTTTCACAACGAAACATGTTTGTTCATTCGTGATCAGGCTAATCATGTTTCGGCCTAGTGCGAACTCAGCTTAATCAGCCAAACTTGAAAAGTAACTGAATAATGATAAGCCAAAGACATAAAGGCTGACATAACGTTAATTTTACTTTATTAAGTTTATTTTACATGCATATTTCGATCTTTCTCTGAAATATGTAGATAAAATAAAATTAATCAAGTAAAAGTAAAACACTCTAAATATACGTTGGTTACATGTTTAATAATGATTCATTACGTCAATTCAA